ATTTTATAATTTAAGGTTTATTTTAAATTTATAACTTTTTAGGTACCAAAAGAGGAAATTTATCATTCAAAAAACAATTACTTTGAAAATATCTACAGAAAAAGGCAAAGGAAGAATATAATTTATTCAATGATTAGGAAACATTTTTTATGAATTATGAGTTACCAGCTCAGAACTAATTTATTGTCAGAGGAAAATTTTTATATTTTATCAAGAGTTTCTAAATATATAGCAGAAGCACTAAACCAGATGTGGCAGCAATATCCAATGCATGGATGAATAGTAGATTTATAGATTCTGGTGATAAAAATGTCTGGAATGACACAGTGAACCAATTTTCTTAGAAGCAAACTTTTAAATTGAAAATATAATATTTAAACTTCATGTGTTAAGAATATGTTAGCTTGAGAAGGCATAATGAGTTTCTCTCCTGGAGGTTAGCATCAGCTATGCTGATGAAAGTTAAAAATTGTGGTTTCAGACAATCAAAAGAGAGCAGTTTTGGAGGCGTTAAAATTAACAAACCACTCCTTGCCCCAGTTAACAACAGATTATGGGTCATTTTTAGATAAAAGTTGCAAAATTTGACCTTATTCCTATTGATTAGACTTCCTATTAAAAAAAGTAAATAGGTGTGTCATCAGCAGAGATACAGAATTGGTTTGGTTTGGTTTACGGCATATCAACCACAATGGGTTATTTAATGCCAACAAAATTTTTTTTTTTTTTCAAAATGTATAGCTGGTAATTTTTTCAGAAATGTATAGCTGCTAATATTTTTTTTTACAAAAATGTATAGTTTGGTTTGTTTTGCATTTTTTTTTAAAAAGTAAATATTAACCTCAATGGGTTATTTAATGCTGACAAGATTTTTATTTCTGGTAATATTTTCTTTTTTCAAATATTTCATTGATACTAATTTTTTTTTTACAAAGTATTTTTGGTATTAAAAATTTTTATACTTTCATAGTCTTTTGAGTCAAACTGAATGGGGTCAATGGGTTATTTAATGCTGATGAAGATTTTTATTGCTGGTAATATTCTCTTTCTTCAAAAATTGCTGATACTAATTTTTTTTTTTTCTTTTTTACAATGTAAAGAAACATATTTTAATCATTAATAAATTTATATATTAGTTAACTAATAAAAAAAAAAAAAAAATTCTGGCAACTTTTGTACATTGGAAAAATACTATTTTAGCCTACAGTTTTTGTTAGCTGGAATGAAATTCAATTTGGAGAAACCCAAATTATTCAACAGGAGTTTAAGTAGAATTTTTAAAAAATGGTCAGTCGGAGTTAATGAAATTTTCTACAATCAGTCAGTTATGTGCCATACATGATACGCACTTAGGCAATCATGTATCTTTCGATACATGACTGACCTCATTTTTTTTTTTTAATGCAGTAGGTTGCCATTTCTTTCTGTGGTAGACCAGCTACCATCCAAGGTGTTATAGACAAGCGTATGGTTGCAAGAAAGAAATACGACAACAGCAGAAATAGATTTACGTGGTTTATTTCAACATGAACGAGAGGGTTTGGGACAGCTACCTTGCGGTAAAGTTCATAAGCCGGGCTTCGGATCTAGGTTGATCTCTCATAGTAGTTCTCACTGGTTGACGGTGGTTGGCGCTCCCCCTGCTGTCAGCTCCAGCCTGACCGTAACAGGTCTCTTCCCTGGGCACCTGTTGACTGCCTGTTGAACTTCCGTGTGACCCCTTTTATAGCGTTTTTTTATGGCTTAACAGGCTCGAAAAAACAAAGCGAGTATAATTAGGAGGGAAGCATTTTATTGGGTCAAAAAATAGAACACTTTTAAATATTATTTTATTTTTCGACCGGAACTCGTGTGTCAGAAACATTTGTAAACGAAGATAATCGTCATTTTGTGATGGGGCTTTGTCCCATTCACATCTGGCTCTTGCTCTTGAGTATTTGCCTGTAAATCAGCCGAGATATGTCTTATTTCTCGTTATAACAAAGGCTAGAGAACCTGGTCCATTCTGCTATTTACCTATAGCTGGGGGGGAGAAGAAGAGGATCCATACCTTTCCCAAGGGTATTAGCATGTAATGGATTTGAATGGAATTTGAACTCTGCTCTCTGATTCCTCAATCTGAGCCATTATCCATTACACCTCCATGCCTCCTACTTTGTTGTCTTTCAAGAAAGATTGGTGGATTGATATTCTGGAAACTGGTATGAGAGAAGGAAAGATGTTTTCTTTATGGGTAGTGGCATTTGTCTTTGGTAAATGATTCTTGAACCAAGAAAGAAAATTTAAATTTTTGCTAATGTATTTTTGTTAAACGCACACCCTTCATCAGATTTTGTCAGGATTGAGAGAAAATAAATAGAACTGTTTTATTTATACGAAGATAATTTTGTGCATGGGGAATTGCTCTAAAGAGAACAGTGGATGTGTGAAAAGTCTTGAATGAAAAGATTAAATTAGTTGATTTGAACATTTGTCCTATATATTCACACAACCAGCCTTCAAAATCTAATTGTGTATGTAAATAACAAACTGAAATGTTTAGAAAGTATGGATATAGAAAAGTGTTTATTATACATACTGCATGTTTTAAGTGTTATTTGTTTCTTCAAACGTCTCATTAAAAAAAAAGCAGAGAACTTCTTTTGATATTCTTCTCTATTATTTTACACTAGCTGAAGTAGTTGCCTATGAAAGGTCAAGAACTGGATCACAGATGCTTATAAGGACATTTAAATGTTTCCTTTGGACTGTAATGGTGGTGTGGTTAAGATTCCATCAAAGTTATACGAAACTGCTGGATATGTAGAGTCCTAGAAGATACTTAAGTTTGCGTGAAAAATTATTGTTTTATTTATGCACTTCTTTAAGTTTCCTGGCCGCTAATTGCAATGAAAAATCAAAGAGTGCTTAGTGTAGCAAAATACAACATAATGTTTAGCAACATTCTATTAGTAACAATATTATGTTTAGTTAGCTACCAAAAAGTTACATCTATTGATTAAGTTCCACTGACCAACAACAATAAATATTTCATTGTATGTTATCAATAATAGTGTGTTGAAAGGTTGTTGGTTTAAACAAGAATATATATATATATATATATATATATATATGTGTGTGTGTGTGAATACTAGCTCTTTATGGAACCTGGAATATTATGGCTAGGATTTATGAAACAAATCCATCCAAACTTTCATTCCTTCTAATGATTCCATATCTAGTGATATAGCAAATAATAAAAGCATCTATAGAAATTCATTGCAAATGATTTTACTATAGGAATGCATTAGAAATGATTTGAATACTAGCTCTTTATGGAACCTGGAATATTATGGCTAGGATTTATGAAACAAATCCATCCAAACTTTCATTCCCTCTAATGATTCCATATCTAGTGATATAGCAAATACTAAAAGCATCTATAGAAATTCATTGCAAATGATTTTACTATAGGAATGCATTAGAAATGATTTAAATGATTCCATATCCATTCCATTGATTTTACTATAGGAATGCATTAGAAATGATTTTAATGATTCCATATCCATTCCATTGATTTTACTATAGGAATGCATTAGAAATGATTTTAATGATTCCATATCTAGTGATATAGAAAATATTAAAACCATCTATAGAAATTATTAAGGGATGCATTAATCCTACATTCCCGCTCATCATACCCCACAGAAAAACAAAACTTATTGATTTAGTTATGATCAAATGTTTTTAAAATTATTTGTTTCCTTGTTTAATGATAGCTCAAGTGTGAAGAAGTTTTAAGAAACTGAGAAACTTCTCATGATAGGTGGTACCAAAAATGCTTTGACCCAAACAATATTTTATCATTAGAAGTGAATTAGAGAGAACATTCAATCTCTCCTCATATAATATATATATATATATATATATATATATATTTTGTTATAGTGTAACACACCTATTCTATAGTTAATAGACTCTCCCACCTATAATAAGTAGGAGTAGTAATAGTAACGAGGAGTCATCCAGTGGGTCAATCAGTCAGTCGATGCCGGACGACCGTTAGTCAGATACTAAAGTATCAGCGACCACAACTAGATTTCTCTGCGTCATACCTATCATATGAAGTTCCTAACGTTTTGTATGTTGAACCTATTTTAGGACTGACTTAGTACAAATACAAGCCTCCATGGTGAAATCACTCCATAACATATATATATATATATAGCACAAAAAAAAAACATACTGAGAGAAAGTACACAATATTAAAATGACAGTGCATTATATGATAAGGGAAGCTGGACTTCATCGTATGAAATATATAATCATTTCTTTTTCTATACAAATCGATACCTACATTGAGCTCTCTGGGGAGGAAGTGTGAGTTTGTAAATAGTGAATATTACTGCTAATAATGCAAGACTCTTCAGTAAAGTGAATCGTGTTCTGTCAGCCACCACGTGTTTATCCCCAAATAAATATGCTTAAATTCACCTTCATCCCTGCTATGCGCCAATGGCTTGGGGGTAGAATCTCTGACTGACACCAATTCAGCCAGGTTTTCGATCATAGCTAGAGGCAACTGGATGTCTAACCACATTGAGGAGCTGTGATACAGCAAAACAGTCTGTCTGTGGATGACAATATATATATATATATATATATATATCAGGGCATTGCCGTTTCGGTAGGCAAGCTACATTTTCCTTATTTGACACAATATGAACCTAATCCAACAAAATTGTGAAGGTTACTCTGTTATACATAAAATGCAAAATATTTTTTTTGTAGTTTACTACATAAAGGTCCCAATATGCCTGATTATATATAATAAATAAAAGGTTTTTTCAAATTTCAAAATAAGTTATTTTATATAAGTTTATTTTTGTTTCCCAGCCCCCACCAAGTACTTTTGAATGTTGCTACATTCATTGTCAATGATTTCATTGTTTTTGTGTGTTCATGATAATCATGAAAAAAACAAAATTTTTTAAATTTAATAAAACAAATTATTTGCTTACCTTTCATCTGATCCTCTTCTGTATTCTTTCCTCTTTCCTTCTGGTACAATTGGTGTCTTCTGCTCTTCATCCTTAGCAAGCACATGACTAATATCCTCATCTTGATTGTCAAGATTTTCAGTTGAAGATTCCTTCTTAAGAATTCCCCGAAGATTATCCTGGTTGGTAACCTCCTTGCTCTCTTTAGAATCCAACCGTTTCAGAACTCCTTTTTCTGGTTCTTTCTTAAAGTCAAAACTACTCTCCTTCTTTAGGATTCCTCGAGGTTCCGACCCATTTTTATCCCAACTGCTGTCTTTCTTTAAGACACTCTTTGGCTCAGATGTCTTGGGTGCAGTTGAGTAGACATCTGGCTCAGTCACTTTTAAGATGCCCCTGGGCTCCAAGTCAAGCTGCTTTGAGGACCTCCTGGGTTCTGGCTCAGAGCTTTTCAGGATGCTCCTGGTTTCACTCTCCAGTTTTGCCTGCTCGTTTGAGTCTTGCTTCAGAATGCTACGGCTAGGCTCACTATCTCTCCGCTCACCATCATTCTTTAGAATACTCCTGATCTCCCGTTCGGGACTATCTCGACCAGACTCGGTTTTCAAGATGCTTTTTACCTGTTGCAGATCTTTCTGGTAGTCAGCCATCTTCAAAATACCTGGAAAAAAGATTTAAAAACAAATAAGTTAGATATGAAGGATAAAAGTTTATCACAAATGACTTTTAAGAATTTATGAAACAAAAACCAATATATTGACACTCACAATGCACAATTTTATAGAGAAACACTGTAGACACTATTTACATTATTTGGACTATTATCATCATCTTTGTTGCCATATTTATCACAACATTTTGGCTGTTGTAAGCTCTAGCCTTCTTCAGGTGGTTGGAATGAACTGGAATAACAAACTTTTTTTTTTTTTTAAACTAGAGCAAGTAAGAATGAATTTATTAACTTGACATGGTTCTTTAGTAATAAAACATCAGAAAAAATATCTCCATAATAATTGGTGTTCAGCTGCAATGGTTTTGCATAAAAAAATCTATGCTCTATAAATAAGGCATCAAACTAACAATGGTGACAGATCATTAGTAAATACTGTTTACTAGTCGAGTACTATTTTGAGACAATTGGAGCAGGTACCATTTTGAAAGAATCAGATTCCAACAACTTGACTGATTCTCAGTCTGTTGACAAAATTGGAACTTAATTGGTGGGCAATTCATTTTGACAAAAATCAAGTATGATGGTGTTTAAGGCTACATGTATTACATAACAAGGAAACAGATACACAAACAGAACTGGTCTGCTATTATTTTAAATATCTTTTCAAAGATCATTGTGACATGGGATCAAATTAACAATAGAGAACCTTTACAAGAGTCAATATTTATTGTAACTTGTAACTGAAGGTAATGTGTTTAAATTCTAAAACATTTTCTTGAATTAAAGTCATATCACATTACAATATGTGTAGAAATTGTGTGGAAAAGTTAAATATCTATATAATTCCTATAGTAAAATCATTTGCAATGAATTTCTATAAATGCTTTTAGTATTTGCTATTTCACTAGATATGGAATCAGAGGGAATAACAGTTTGGATGGATATGTTTCATAAATCCTAGCCATAATATTCAAGGTTCCATAAAGAGCAAATATTAAAATCATTTCTAATGCATTCCTATATTAAAATTATTTGCAATGAATTTCTATAGATGCTTTTACTATTTGCTATATCACTAGATATGGAATCATTAGAGGGAATGAAAGTTTGGATGGATTTGTTTCATAAATCCTAGCCATAATATTCCAGGTTCCATAAAGAGCTAGTATTCAAATCATTTTTAATGCATTCCTATAGTAAAATCATTTTCAATGAATGAGTTATTTTAAGTCAAAATATATTTTGGATTGTAAGAATATTTCTTTTATATAAATAACATTGCATTAACAATTTTCTGAGGATGGGAATGATTTTTCCATATCTATTAACCCATATTCTGTTGTTTTCTCTCTCTGAATAAAACACATTGAGAATAATTTAGATTGTGCAATGTGGCCCTGAATGAGTTAATAATAACTGATGTTATCTTCAGAAATAAGTGATTAATCAACAATCTCTTTTCCAATATAAAAGTCAGTATTTTCTCACAGGAATAGAATACATAAAGAGGAATGAGGGATAAGTATAGGAAATTCCCATACTCAATGTCTCCACCTTGCTCCAGCATAAGGGAGATTAATCTTGCAATATAAGAGTTCTTTTTCAATCTTCAGTTCAAACTCTCATGAGATCTTAGGATATCCCAAGCAAGATCAAGAACTGAAGAATTTTGCCTTGAACCACTCAATAAAAATGATGCGATTGGGACGTTAATGAATTGGTTAAATTTAAGTATCAGAGCATTGCAGGAAAAAAATAGACATCAAAATTGCGGCCAAAATTTTAAATTAAAAAAGTACTTTTATAAAAATCAATTCTAAAAGTACAGTTAAAATTACTTTTCAAATTATACAATCAGGAGGCCAAATATCAAAGACAAAACAGTGCAAATGCATCCATTTCCAAATTGGAATCATCACAAATCAAATTCTACTAATTTTTCACAGATGTTCAGGAGAATGATATTCTGAAATGTATTATTTTTTTTCAAGAGGCATTAGAATTACACTTTAGAAACTTATTCCAGTGATCGTTAAAAAAAAAAAATAGCTACATTGGCATAATGTTAGCAAAAATGTTTAAGAATATTTTTTCAGGCTGAAGTCTTCAGTAAATATTATAATTTTTTCAAATTGCTATTAAATGGATGTCTCAGTAGAAGAGAAATATTTACAGATAAGGTTAAAGGTCATTGGCTTCACCAAAATCTTTACCGTATAAAATTTGTGCAATTGTGATTCCAACTGCTCTACAAATTAGCAAAATAATTTGTGCATCATTGTAAATAGGATAGAACATTTCAATATAAAAATTCAACATAGCAAATTTAAATTTATTCAATTAATTTTGATAAAAAAAAAACTTACTTGTTTATTCAATCAAAACAATTCCTGGTTTTAGAAAAAAGTACCACACCAGGAATTTTTCTAAAAGTAGTCAATGTGAGTTATGTAATAAGAGCAATATTTATTCTGATATGTACACAGAAATGTGGCACAAGGCTGAAGTGGGGACTGGAGAAAAGACAGTCTTCTTCTGTCTTAACGATAACTTAGCTAGCCACAAACACTGACCCAATCATACAAACAACATTCCTTACACCAAAACAACACATTCTTACATACCTTTCTTACTACATCCACCATAATACCTCACTGTCTCTATGAAATATACTAACTAGCCCCTATATTCATTGTCTGTGTGGGGAGGGGAATAAAACAACAATTCTAAAAACTAGCCCCAATGAGTATTTACAATATGAAAACAAAACTATTTACAAGAAACTAAAGAAAAAAAAAAAAAGTTATAAGGGTGGCTGCTGGAAGACCCTATGTCTAGCAACAGGATTCTGCACCATGCCTTACAAGTGGGAGAACCCAGTCATGGCTGTCAGACAATTTCTGCAACCACATCACTCTTTATATCTGGCCACCTAATTCACCAGACTGCAACCTCATTGATTATTATGTGTGGGGTGCAGTTGAATGAGAGACCAAAAAAACTCATTGTAACACCAAAAATGAACTGAAGGCAAGGATTATGGCAGTATTCATTAACTTAAACAAGGAGACTGTCCAGAAAAGTTGCAGGAGATTCTGAAGTCATCTGCAATTGAAACCAATTCTTTCATGTCTCTTATACACAAATCTGGGGCAATAAATTAACTAAATTGTTGACGACCTTATTTTTATCATTATCAGATAATTCTTGTATATAAAACTAATTTTCTTTATTTGGACTATTACTGGAGATTTTCTCTGGATTAAAGAAACAGCCGAAGCCCAAGTAGATTTTCATTGGTGGAAAGAACTTCTCTGATTGGACCAACAGCTGATGATAATGTCCAGTGACACATTGAATTCATGCACATTGCATTTTCAGGACAAAGGCACTTAGTGAAAAATTACAAACAATTTGTAACCGGATGCAATTTGAAATGTGTTCACATTCAACAGACTATAAGATGTGGCTCTTTGAACGTGTGGGTTTTTATTACCAACGAGGAAGAGGGAAGAGGAAAGAAAAGCGTATAAAAGGAAAGAGAAAGAGAGAAAAGAGTGCTTCTTAGACTAAAATATAATAGTTCACCCATATTTTTCTTACCATGGCAAAGTGCAGGAAGAAACAGACTCATGACATTCCCAAGAGCATTAATGTGACTTAAATAAATCCAGCAAGGACTTGAACTCTAATCTACTTATTATCATTTCCTGAAACAATCACCCTTATATCATTCTCTACCTCCATTGCAAGCTTTTATAAAGATAGACACAAGGAAAACAGTTTGAACATTTGGAGCAAACTTTGCATCATTTCTCTGCTATCAGTTCTTTCACTGGGTTTTCACTACGAGAATCAAATCATTTGTATACGTGGTGGCTCACTTTCAAAATTGAATTGAATATGTTGAAAACAATGAGAAAACCTATCACAGAAACTTTATTTCTTAAATTATGCTTTTTTTTTTATCATTTCACCCCAAACAAGGCAATAAAGCCACTGAGACACAAGAGGGGTTACTGAGTATGAAAAAAAAAAAAAGAAAAGATTATTAAGGAACAAGAATCATAAAAGAAAAGGAATCAAAAAGACAGTAGATAATGATTGATTGACATTGCATTTAGATTTTTGAAGATCAGAATTGGCTAGAAAGCAAGACGCCAGAAGAGTGTTCCATAGGCAAAAAGTCTAGGAAAAAAAAAACTGTTAACAAAGAACTTATGGTATGGTTACATCTAGCCATTTCAGCTGTAAAATAATAAGACCTAGCTGCCAATCTAGTACTGCACTTAAATTCCTACAATCTAGGTACCATAGAGGAAAGTTTATCAGAACAATTATCATGAAAGTATTTATAAAAAAGACAAAGAGAAAATGGCATTAAAATGTTGGGAAAGTAACTGAAGCTGGAATGCCAGGTCAGGACCAATAACATTGCAGATTCTTCTTTGAATTTTATCAAGAACCTCTAAAATATATAGCAGGAGCACCAGACCATATCTGGTGGCAATATTCAAGACATGGATAAATGGTAGACTTATAAATATGTAAGCTAGATTCTGGAGAGAAAAATTGTCTAGTGTGACACAGTGAACCAAATTTGTAGATTTTATTTGTTAAACTATTTTGTTGAGTGCTTGCCTTAAGTGTCAATTTTTGTCTTTTCCCTTGTCATGCGAGATGGGCATTGGCAAAGAGCTCCTCAAGAGTGATGCCATGAGGGACAAGTTCAATCTCTTTCAAGCATTTGAGACAAACCAATTCTGCACCAAGAAAGAGATGATGCAAAAGGCAGAAATGCTGCCCAGTATAGAGTCAGTCAATAACTTTGAAGACTGTCAGAATTCAGGCAAAGATGACATTTGTGATGGTAAGTAAAGAAGCCTGTCTTTTTGTCACCCATTATAGAAACTTGAGTCAATGATGTTTTTTTTTCCCTTTCCTTAAGACAGAAAGAGAAAAGGGGTGGATGGATTAAAAAAAAAAAAAAAAAAAATTGGTCTGTGGAGAGTAGAGGGTGAGAGGAGAATGATTTAAACTGAAGTACTTGCTGCAAATGAATCAATGGCAGGAGTGAAAGAGAGAACAAAGAACCTCTCCATCCCAGGATGTTAATTAGGTTGGAACAAATTTTATTAAGATGCACTAAATTTTCACAGCTGAAACAACAAAAGAAAAGGTCAATATCCATTACTTAGTAATGTTCAAAAACATATCGCACTCTGAATTTAGCTTTTCTGATGAAAGCCTGCTTAAATTTAATAGATTCATGGGAAAATGAAAGTACAGACGACTGAAACTGATAAAATACCATGATGTGTTTTTAATCTTTGTTACTCAAATGTGATAGAAGCCCATTCAATTTACAAGTATTTTTTTTTAATCATTTCATCCCAAGCAAGGCAATAAACTCACTAAAATGCAGGGGAGAGAGGAGGTTATTGTGTGTGTGAAAGATTATAAGAAAAGTTGAACTATTATTAAAGAATACAAACAATAAAAGAACAGGAATTAAGAAGACAGAAGATAGTGTTTGACATTGCAATTTTTGAACATCAGAGTGGGTTGGAAATCAAGAAGCCAGAAGGGAATCCCATGAGTGAGAAGTGCAAGAAGCTCATAGCATAATACTTAAAGTTACAATTAACCACTTTGACTGTAAAATGATGAAACTTCTGTCAATCTAGTATTACACTTAAATTCATAAATTCTAGATAGCAAAAAGCAATGTTTATCAGAACAGTTGCCATGGAAATATTTCTAGAAAAGGCATATGGAAGCTACATTACAGCAGTGGTAAAGTGACCGAAACCAAGATGCCAGGTTAGGACTAATAACATTGCACATTCTTCTTTAGATTCTATCAAAAATCTCTAAAATATACAGCAGGAGCACCAAACCAGATGTGGCAGCAATATTCAGAGCAAGAATGAATGGTAGACTTATAAATGTGTAAGACAGATTTAGGCGAGAAAAATTATCTAGTACGACACAGTGAACCAACGTTCCTATCAGCAGATCTAGCAATTGATTCAATATAATCTTTCCATTTCATGTCAGTGGAAAACATTAACCGAAGAAGGCACAATATTTATGAGAGCTAAGTATGGATGACCAAAAATGACAAAAATTTATATTATTAACAATATGAAACATTAAAACACTCTTATACAGGATGCAATAGATAAATTTTCATCTAAATTGCACAAAATGAAATTAACAACTCATTTTAACAGATACATTTACCAAAAAGTATACAAAAATATCTTGAAATGCTAAAAAATAAATTTATTCAATAAACAGCCTCCAGATGACTTCAGAATCTCCTGCAACTTTTCTGGACAGTCTCCTTGTTTAAGTTAATGAATACTGCCATAATCCCTGCCTTCAGTTCATCTTTAGTGTTACAATGAGTTTTTTTGGTCTCTCATTCAACTGTGCCCCACATATAATAATCAATGAGGTTGCAGTCTGGTGAGTTAGGTAGCCAGATATAAAGAGTGATGTGGTTGCAGAAATTGTCTAACAGCCATGACTGGGTTCTCCCACTTGTAAGGCATGGTGTAG